TGATTACGTTAATATTGACATTAAAACACATCCTCACAAAAAGGGATCTTCAAATCACCTCGCCCTTCGGGCTCGGGAATCTGAACATCCCTTTTTGTTCGGAGGTCTTTTAATATCAATATTAACTTATCATTGAACTTTTACTATTACAAACAGTTCATAACTTGTTATTGTTATACTGTCTATATGTGTAAAGTGGGTTTATAATTAAAACGTTTAAACCCCCTGCATTTGTATGCACCTGTCCTAAGTCAGGAACCTGTTGTTCAGTGGTTGTCGTTTGTTGATGTGGTTCAAAAGTATTTCTCTTTTTTTTATATAGATTAGACCGTTGGTTTTCCTGTTTGAATTGTTTTACACTAGTCTTTTGGGTGCCCTTTATAGCTTGCTGTTCGGTGTGAGCCAAGGCTCCGTGTTGAAGGCCGTACTTTGACCTATAATTGTTTACTTTTTATACATTGTGACTTGGATGGCGAGTTGTCTCATTGGCACTCATACCACATCTTCTTATTTATATTAGAAGTTTTAGGGGGGAGGTTGAGATCTCACAATAAATGTTAAACCCCGTCGTATTGTTGTGCCTGTCCAAAGTTAGGAACCTCTAGCCTTTATTAGTCTTGTGTTTTTTTATTTATTTTGGAGTTTATTGTGGCGTCCATTTAGCAGAACTAGTATACATTATTGTTAAGGGGACAGTTGAAGCCCACCTACGGGTGCGGGATTTTCTCACTGCATTTAAGACCCATTGGTGGACTTGGGCTGTTTTCTACTCTTTGGTCCGGTTGTTGTCTCTTTGACAGATTCCTTGTTTATATTCACGATTTTATGCAAAGTATTCAAAGTCAATGAACCATGACTGAGGGGACAAGGCCAAATAACCTCCATGGAAATGAGAACTGTCAATGCTTGTAAAACTGCATACCAAATAACATTAACTTATCATAAGTGGTTACCTTTAAACTATTCTAAACACAAACTTTAACTTGTAAACCATGCAAAAGTTTCACAGTCAATAAAACATGATGACAAGGCGGGGGCATATATCTCCATGGAAATGAGATTTGCAAATAGTTATACTACTGCATACAAAATATTATTGACCTAACTTTAATGGTTCATATTAAATTGATCTTAATATAAAAACATTAACATTTAAACTATGCAAAACATTTTAAGTCAATAGACCATGCATGCCTCAGGGGACGGGGTCAAATAATCCTCATGGAAATGAAATGTGCCAATGCTAATACAACTGCATACTAAATATTATTGACTTGCCACTACTGGGTCCTCCAAAAAAGGACCTACTCGCAAACTAATACATGTAAACTAAGCAAAAGTTTCAAAGTCAATAGACAATTACTAAGGAGGGCGAGGCCATATAATATCCATGGAAATGAGATGTGCCAATACTGATAAACTGCATACCGACATATCACTGGTTGTTGCCCGTGAAAACTGACTTAATCACAAACTAGTTTATGTAAACATAGCAAAAGTTTTCAAAGTGAATAAACGATGACTGAGGGGCGGGTCTAAATAATATGCATGGAAATGAGATGCGCCAATACTAATACAGCTGCATACCAAATATCATTGACCTATCGCTAGTGGTTCTCTATAAAATGACCTTATCACAGACTAATACTTTATCGACGCCGCCACCGCCGATGCCGTCAGAAACAGTACGCCTAAGTCTCGCTTTTTCGACTTCGAAGAAGAGAGATAAAAGCCGAACGCAGGACGATTTTCCTCTGATATCAACAATTGCGTTATTTCTTAGCCAATTCATATGTTGGGACAAGGCATAGACACAATGTTTTGTAAAAATAACTTGTTTATAGTGAACAAACAACATATGTAGGTATACATACAATATATGTACATTGTCGGAAAATATCCAATTTATTTGCACGAGCTTTAACAGGAAGAAAAGCGAGGCTCGCCGAGCTTTTCTCCAGTTTAGTAGCGAGGACAAATAAAATTTCATATTTCCGACAATGTCCATATATTGTTTTTGTCCTGCAATGTATACCTGGCACTTTAATGTTTCGTTGTTTAAATCAAATAGTTGTCTCTTATTTTTTAATGAAATCAACATAGTAATGACAAAGCGGACCCATAAATAAGCTGTCGACAAAAAGAAATATCCACATTGCCGTTTGCCCCATATAGAAGCGGGCTAACAGGAGTCTAGTACAAAGTGTAGCTGTTATTTGTACAATAGTTGGCTGATTGTAAGATAAAACATCATATTTGGTATTTGAGATGGCTCAGATAAAGACAAAACCAGTGAATAAAACCTTTGAGGTTACTAATTTCTATAATACAGTGTCAAAATTTATAAATCACTGTTATTGTAATATCGTTTGGAAATGAGCAAGACCACATAAAATAAGTTAAAATATCACAAAATATTCCACATTCAGAGAACTTAAGTAATTTTTTTTTCAATGAATTGGATTTTGAATAAGACAGCATATTCATTTGCGGAAAAAGTGTATTCACCCCGCAAAACGCCGCGTGTATTTACGTTCATAATGGTGGTAAAATCGTTTGATGTAGAAATGGTTTTGGTAAATAATTGTCATTACATACATTTTCTCTCTAGGAATACGGAACAAAACAATTAACAATTACTGTATTTTGTTTCGGTAAATATTTGGTTTCATTATCTTTTGAAAAACTGATATTCTCTTCGGCCGTAGCCTCAGTAAATATCAGTCAATACAACCAGATATTTACCTCATCAAAAGACAGTAATGGCATATTATTTACTATAAAATTAAATCACAAAAAAAAAATGATTAGAAAAGGGAGGTCCATTCCCCAAGCGCCTATGATAACTTAAGAGAAATTAATTGCTATCATAAACAGGTTTTATTTTGAAACATAGTAGATAAGTAGGACTCTTGAGAAGTTTTAATTAGTTTTCGGAAGTATCATTTCTTCATATAACATTATAAGTGCATATTACAATAACTGCTTAAAATGTAAAGCATTTATAATTTCTATCACGTAACAAGTCCATATAGTGTTTATATGCCATTTTGTTTTTCTTTGTTGACATAGTTCTTTGTTTTTATAGTGATTAAGATTATAACACAATGTTGACCGTTGTACCCTAATTTTTGACATTTTTACCTATTATGTCTGTTTGTTTTCCTTACGCATTGTTGTCAATATGATGTTTTACAAATTCCCTGGAATTATTTTAGCGATTATTATCGGTAAAAATAGATCAAATACAGACAACTAAATCGTTTGCATAAACTTTATGGTTTAATCGGACGGGCAAAAACTTATGTCTTTCCTTTATCTCTTGAAGTCATTTCAGAAAAGAAAAGACCCAACATACGTATTCATTAGCTGAAAAGGAATTGTCATGGCAAAGCAAATAAGAATATATATATAGTAAATGGGTGAGAACTTTAACGGTTTTCTATATATATATCACAATTTAGGATGTCAGATCAGGGCATGTCTCTCCTATCCCATCAAGGTCAACGGATAATATAATATAATATGTACACGAAAACGTTCGAAAAAATTAGGCATTCTGTCCTTGGGAAAAAAGGTCAAGGTCCTAGACTAGAAATATATTGCGCATGGATGATGATATAATAGCTCTTGTTAAAACTTGAATTGTGTTGTATATAAATAGAAAACGATAAGGGGGATAGTTTAACCGTACCGGTGAAATTTATTACCACGTGGTAGTTATACCGAATTTTGTTTTCAAATATCAGTGCAAACTGCACGTGTTTCTGAAATATATTTGTCAAGGACGATCATGACACAAAGTAACAAATAAACAAAACGTTTTCTGAGTATCAAAAGCAAAAAGGCTTGAACGTTTAAACCCAATTAGCTGCGACAACAAAAACTGCTGTAAAATCTGCAGTAAAATTATATATAGAAATCATGCAAATACCGTATACAAGGCAAATGGAACTTGTGTAGACTGACAGCCCGGCTTCGAAACAGTTCATACACTGAATTATGTTGTAGTACATAAAAGAGAATAACAGATATCACTCAAATTCAGAAAGTGCATCAAATCATACCATCCACCAAAATCCGACTCCCACCACATACATTATGTACCTGTCCCAAGTCATGAGTCTGTAGTTCAGTGGTTGTCGTTGGTTCATTATAAAAACATGGATATATGGTATGATTGCCAATGAGACAACTATCCACCAAAGTTCAAATGAAGTGGATGTAAGCTATTCTAGGCAACCGTACGTCATGCCTGTCAAATTTGTTTTCGTAATTTTTTTGGTTATAATTTAGGTCGTTGGTTTGCTCGTTTGAATTGTTTCACATTTTGCAAGACGTTGCTTTTTATAGCCGACCATTCGATATGGGTTTTTCTCATTGTCGAAGGCCGTACGTACGGTTGCCTATAATTGCTAACATCCGCCTCATTTGAACTCTGGTGGACAGTTGTCTTATTAATAATCATACCACATTTTTTATTTCTATATAGAGGTACAAAGACGTGCAAACACGAATAACGTATGGTTCAGGTAATGTTGTTTTGCACAAACATAAGTTGTTGTGGATTAATATTGTTGTTTTGTACATGCTTACAATACACACGTATTCTTTCCCTATGTCAAGCGCCGAATGTAGCCCTTTTAATATGTCAATTTAACTCCATGTGGATGATATCTGAGAGATATGATGAGCACGTTCAGGTATGCTTCAAAATACTCTTAAACAATTTTTTTTGTATTGCTACATGTGCCAAACATTGTCTGTCTCCTATCAAATTTGAAGCAAAATTTCAAATCAGTTGCTTCGTTTGTTTAAGGTTTTCGATTTTGAGATTCTAGTATTTTTGCCTCGATGATCCCTAAAGAACCATTAGTTGTCAAAGTATGCATCTGGTACCGTTATTATTTAAGAAATGCAATTTCTATTTATTTCAACTTTTTGAAAATTAACATGAAGCATAAGTATAAAACTGCATAAAATTCTTAAACATTTTACAGGAATTAGATACCAAAACTCAGTAGCAGTCAAGAAATAGTTACAATGGGACAAATAAGTTCATGTGAAACTAAGTTGACTCAAGAGGAGACTAAAGAAGCACAAGATCTAAAGGACAGAGTAGAAAATGAAGGACCAGAGGCTATTGCTAACCATGTAAGGGAAAATCTTGACAGATGGAAGAAAGAGGAATTAAAAATAGGCATTTCTGGTCGAATTAAAACCGGGAAATCAACATTTATAAATGCTGTACTTGGTTTGAGACCTAATCAACCAGATGCTGCAAAATCAGGCTCTGGAAATACAACGCAGAACGTTACTCCATGCATATGCACATCCGAGAAATGAACAAATAGTTTTGTTCGACTTTCCTGGTGTTGGGACTGAGGATCATTCTAAATCGAAATACATGACAAAAGTAAACGCTTCAGAATGTGATTACTTTTTAATTTTTTTCGATTCGGTCATCAGCGATGATGTTATCTGGCTGGCCGAACGCTTGAAAGAAATCAACAAACCCTATTGTTTTGTACGATCAATGATCGACCAGGACATTCAAAATGCAGAATTTGATGGAAAGAATTTAGATACTGTCCTAGAGGAAGTCAGAGAAAACGTACAGACATCTGTCGCTGCAAATAATATCACCCGCGATTCAAGCATTTTCTTTATATCAGGTCGATATACAGATATAGGCGAATTTCCGCAGCTACTGACTCACATGGAGAAAAATATCTCATCTTTAAAATTTGAATCAATCTTGTTTTCAATATCTGCAATATCAAAGGAGGTAATTGAAAAGAAATACCAGAAACTGAAGTCAAGAATAAGAATTCTTTCAGTCGGAGCAGCCGCAATATCAGCAGAACCTATCCCTTTCATAGATCTATTTATAAACATAAACTTATTGATATACGAGCTACATCACTACATAGATACTTTTGGTATTACTATGGACAAAATAGAAAGTTTGCCAGCTGAAGTCAAAGAAAGATTAAATGTTTGGAATATTCTAAAGAAATCAGGTAAAGCTCTTGTTGTCTTAATTACACAACAGATCGGGAAAGCAGCTGCAGTTGCCGTTGTTGAAAGTGTTGCAGATTTTCTCATTCCTATGATTGGATCGTTAATATCTGCCCCAACAACCTATTTCATAGTGAAAGATTTTCTGAGAAAATATCTTGATCAAATGAAAGAAGATGCTATTATTGTATACGATAATGTCCTGCATGCTCAGAAACATCTTCATACTGACGTACAGGTCTGCTAAACTTTTAAATATGAGCCTTATTGAATAAAGTAATGTGTGTCTGGATCACATGGTAACCCCGGGATCCTCATCTAAAAGAAAGTTCAAAGAAGAAAAATAATTCATTAATTCCTCTCATATGCATACACAGGCAAAAGTTCAATTTGAAACAAATTGTACATATATATTTAATTTTTAATGTGTAACATATTAATAATAAAGCTAGTTTAACTTTTTAGATTTTCAATACAATATTATTGTAATAAAAAATACTAAATCATCAATAAAAAGGAAATGAATACGAATATATTGTTTTGATAATCTGATGTATTGTACGTATTATTAATTTGATACATAACATTATCATGGAACGTTCCAATGTAAGCTTCAGCATGTTCAGAAAGGCAGAATCACAAACTCTGACAGATTAATTGACCTAGCCGACAATTGAAAAAAGTAAAACAACAAAAATACCGAACTCCAAGGAAAATTCATAACGGAAAGTCCCTTATCAAATGGCAAAAATCAAAGCTCAAACACATCAAACGAATGAAAAACAACTGTCATATTCCTGACTTGGTGCAGACATTTCCTTATGTAGAAAATGGTGGATTAAACTTGGTTTTATAGCTAGCTAAACCTCTCACTAGTATGACAGTCGCATAAAATTCCATTATTTTGACAAAAAATGTATGAACAAAACAAACAGACATAATAGGTAAAAATGTCAAAAATAGGGGTACAGCAGTCAACATTGTGCTAAACAAAATGGCGTATAGACAAACAAAATAAGCAAGAATACAAAACAAATGACTATAGCACAATAACACAATGGCGGAATGTATAAGTACCTGGCCACGCCAAAGGATATTACTAAAAATAGACTAAACAGTAAAGGTTAATAGTTTACAAAGACATATAAAATAACACTATAACACGTAATTAACGTCAGTACCTAGAATCTATACTTCAAGACCATCATGTATTATTTGTGAAGTTGACACGGAATATTTATCAACAAGGTCTTGATATCTCCCGATTAACTTTTTTAGAAAAAGGACGAGATGTTCTTTGACATAACCCTGGTTCATCAACTTCCTGCTCAGACACTGGTGACGTTTTATAAAGTCTGAGTAGCAACTGCATGCTCTTGAATACTGAATGAGTTGGATAATGTATATCCCATATGCAGATGAAGTTGGCATATTGCTACTAAGGTGGAGGAAACTGATTATTTCAAAATTAAAATCGTCTCGTTTGTCATAGATACTGAGATGACCGCTTATGTCAAATTCGAGACATAAGTCTAAAAATGAAGCGGAGGAAGCCGTGTCTGTTGTTTCTTTAATTTCTAGTTCTGGAGGATATATTAATGGAACCCAATCAGAAAATTTTGGATTGTTAATGGAAAGAATATCATCAATATATCGGAATGTGAAGTTAAATGATCTGTCTACTTTGATCTTTTTGTTTTTGACAAATGTCTGCAGGAACTCCGACTCATATGAAATTTTCCATTTCTATCTAGCAACATTCCAGCAGCACCTGTATATAGAGTATAAATCTCCAAGTTGATACGATATTCCAGAGCTTGCATTTCCTATCATGATTTTCATGATAGAGGGTTGCTGCTTACAAGGAGGATATAGAACCAATAGTTCCAAGTGGAGAAGTCCCAAAACAGTCCCTTCGAAAATCACGAGTTGGTTGACCGTTATCGAATATCTGTTTCTCAAATTGCGACGGATCTGTTCAAAAAGAGATGCGAACGATACCAAAGGGGCATTCAAACTCATAAGTCGAAAAAAACTGACAACACCATGGCTAAATAGAAAAAGACCAACAGACAAACAATAATACACAAATGACAACATACTAAAGACTGAGTAACACGAACCCCACCAAAACCTGGGGGTGATATAAAGGGTTAGCACAATTCTGCTCCTTATGTGGCACCCGTTCAATCTGTTGTAATCACAATCCCGTGCTCTTTCCTCGATTGTGATCTACCGAATTGGATTGATCACCGGATTTGTACCCTTCCAGAGCACTTGATATCACCCACAGTTTTGGTGGGGTTCGTGTTATTCAGTCTTTAGTTTTCTTTAGAAAGATTAGAGAGTTGGGGACAGCCATTCCCTATGGATGCAATGACAAATTGATGGTGTTGGTATTTTGTATAGTAACAGGGGTAGTACTTTCAATAAATTACAATTATTTAACGTTTCTGCTCGACGAAATAGAAGTCATGGTCACAGAAATTACACACCACCTGCTGTTCACACCGTGACAATTGATAGTCTGTTATCAAAAACCTTTAGAATTCACCATATCAGAACTAAATTATACATCATTCCATTATCTACACTTTATTTACTATTTCAAGAGGCCCAAAATACTTCCGTTATTGATTTTAATTCTGTTTTGTATAGATTAGTTATCATATATTGTTAACCATAGACTATTCTAACCCGTATCTACTACTTCCAAAGATGATAAAAAAAAACGTATTTTTTTAAAATTAGTTTTCGCCAATAAAGGTTTAGATGCTATCAGTATAAGCAATATTTTCCACCAGAAATCTGTACAAAAAAACTATACCTGGCTACTTAAAAATAAAGCTACACCTGTAATTTCATATGCTTACACCGAGCCTATTGCATCCAAGATGCCTTTAATCTCAATATATAAAAATAGGAGCGTTTTCGTAACTTATCTATATGAATTGGTATTACTGATACCATTATTTAATGTGGTTGTGTCATTAGTCAATGTGATTTTAACATTACTTGATGTGAATGTGACTTAACGTTATGTAGTTGTTTCATTACATGATGTGGTTTTGTTATTTCGTAATGATGATTTGCCTATTCCTTAAATGGTTTTAACATTACGTAATGATGTTTCAAAATTTGACGATTGTACACTACATGATGTGTTTGTTTCATTATTTGATGTGGTTTTGTCATTCTTTGATGTGGTTATCCCATTACTTGATGAGGTAAAATCACGTGACAAATTCGGAAAAAAATATGTTCTATTTTTAAACAGATTCCAATATATCATTCGTTTAATGTGCTTTGGATGGGTATCGCTATCCATTGAGTTAAAGTTCAAATTAAAGTTCGAGTGGTTGTTCAGAGTTATTTGGTATGAAAAATGGGAACGGCAGACAATAATAAGAAAAAAAGTATTAAAAAGTTTACAGTATTTCGGACATACGTGGGATATCCCCAAAACACTTGGTCTTGTTGTTTTTATCCTAAGTTCTCAAACGGAAGCAGTATTTTGTAATAAATTTGTAAAATATTCCACGGAACCCTGTGTCTCGCCTTATATTGCTGCTGTAAGTGTAAAAGCGTCATGTCGATCGGCTGTACATTTATCTATACATTTATCGGTAAAAACAAAATTAAAAAAAAATGTTTTTCTGTAGATGCTTTTTCTTGAAATTGAGGAATAACTCCTATACAAGTTTTAAAACACTTCATGGAGGTTTACAAATATATCATGTCAAAACAGTTTAATTCGGTTTTATTCAACTAAAACAAAACTGTATGGTTTTCAACAATAAGCAAAATCTATACCCTATAGTAAGCTATAAAAGGTCCCGAAATGAAAAATTTTAAAAAATAGAAACCTAACGATCTATAGATAGATAGATAGATACTTTATTCTCTAAAAACTAATTACAAGTTTACAGAGAAACATACAATATAAATACAGATACAATAGTTGAGGTAAAGAAATACAGTATGATATTCTAAAAGTACAAAATTATGGTGGTGAAGGTTTGGTACCATTAAAACGTTTAAACCCGCTGCATTTGTTTGCACCTGTCATAAGTCAGGAATCTGATGTTCAGTAGTTGTCGTTTGTTGATGTGGTTCATAAGTGTTTCTCGTTTCTCGTTTTTTATATAGATTAGACCGTTGGTTTACCCGTTTGAATGGTTTTACACTAGTACTTTTTTGGGGCCCTTTATATCTTACTGTTCGGTGTGAGCCAAGGACCGTGTTGAAGACCGTACTGTGACCTATAATGGTTTACTTTTATAAATTTTGACTTGGATGGAGAGTTGTCTCATTGGCACTCATACCACATCTTCTTATATCTATATGTTTAGTAACATGTATAATGAAATGTTAAACTCAATAGAAATTTTAAAAAATGGAGATGGAGACGCCGACGCCATTATCGACGACGACATATAGGTTTGTTGTGTCTCACTGCCGCTACATTGATGTCGCAGGCTCGACACAAATCAAAAGACTTGAACTTTATTGTTTACAAATGAAACACTTCAAATCAACTCACACTAAATTTTCAGGGAAACGGGGGGAGGGGGCTCGGACTTAGCGACAAAGCATAAATACTATAAAATAAGAATTCTCCGATTTTTTTTAGCGTAAATGATCATTTGAACTTATATGAATATCAATCTTTTATTTGTAATCAATTGAATTCCCTGATCTACCTCGCACTAATTGAAAAATAAACTTTTTGGAATATCTGTTTCACATGTGATGACGGACATGGTCCAGTGGTCGTAACCATAATACCGTCATCTTTTCCTTGAATGTGAACTACCAAATAAAACCAAATCACTGGGTTTGTACTTTTTTCTCGAATAACACGACGGGTGCCTTTCTGGAGCATCCGAGATCACCCCGACGGATTTATATTACCCAGTCATACCGATCTATTGAGTCAGCCAAATGAAACTGTTTTGTATGCCACCGCAACTAAAAGTTGAGGGGCATATTGTTTTACCCTTGTCCGTCCGTCCGTATGTCCGTCCCATAATGGATATATAGTTATTCCGCATAACTCCTCCTACAGTTTTAATCCTAGGAAGTTTTCTCTTTACTGTCTGTTTGTACATATATTGAAGGTATGCATGTGGTAAGGGTTTAATGTTTATTAATATTTGCTCTTTTGGGAGATAGTTGAACTTTTTTTTGTAATTTTTGGGGAAATTTACTTGCATAAGAAGAGCGTTTACAGATAACTCCTCTATAGTTTGAATTTAGAATGCTAGGAAGTATTCACTCTGCTGGCTGACAAGCCATTATTATCTTTTGCTATTTTGGGAGATAACTGAACTTTTTTTTTGTCTTTTTGGGGGTATAAGCGGTTAAATGAGTTGAGTGCGGGGGCATCACTTTGTCTAGTTTACATTTTTTCTCGTTTTGTGATGTTACACAACTGTAACAGTCCGATGTAAGGTTAGGATTTAGCGCTCACATACATGTTAAACTCCGCCACGTGCACCTTTTTTTA